TATCGGCAGACGAGCGGAAATATATATTTAAAAAAGTGTGATAAAGCTTTTTTTCTGAAGCACAGTGTGAGACAAGTGTTCCATTTTGGCGTGTGGGTTTTTTGCACTTTTGTATTTGATATACGAAGGATGAAAAATGAATTGAAAGAAGGAATTCAAGGTGTAATTCCTTGTCGAAGTTTTTCTGTAGTTGAGGAAAAAAAAACTACAGATCTAATGAAAACTTTGTGGTTTATAGTTTGATAATATATTAAATTTTTACGATTTGTTGGTTTTCTTGTCCTGAGATGTTAACCCATTCGCCCCCTGTGGCAAGAATACATGCCATGTCCACTGCAATACACGTTTATTTATTGTATTTACACATAGATGGCTCTACAAGTTCTTAATCACCAAATAGCCAGTTTATCAGAACTACCTATCTCACCTGTTTACCCTTTTCCTTCACTTTAGGAAAGGGTCTTTTGTATCATTTCATTGTCTAAAATATTTTAATGACAATTGTATAGTCATAACATCGATAGCAATGGTATTAATAAGAAAAAAACGTTTTCCTGCCGTTCCCAAGGAATGGGAAAATTAGGATCGGTAACTAGGGCCTACTGGACTCTTTGCCGGCTGAGCACATGTGGAGCCATCTGTAGGTAACAAAATTCACCAAAAACTACAGGCGACAGAATATATATCTGGGACGAATGGGTTAAGAGAAAATGGGAGCTAGTTCTGTGCAGGTGTTTACCTACCAACAGCGTATGAAATATGAAAATTTAAGTAATCACTAAGACAAAGGTAAGCGGAAACTTAAAAGATTCTGAAACCGATGCAGTGATAAAAAATGACAGAGGAGGATATTGAACCGTATGACCTAATAAGATTACAGTCTAGAAGACATTCCTATTTAACTATATATTCAAACGTCAAAATGCACTTTCATAAACCATGCTAATCACAAAGAAAGCTATTTTACAAGCAAACCCTTCAAAACTGATCGAGGTGAATGAGCTGCACCCATCCGTCTCAAAAAAGGGGAGAAAAAAAGCTTTAGAATGAATGAATTCAACTTTTTTCGAAGTTTCAGAAAAAGTCGGAATCAGAGCCTTCATTGTCACTAAGTCCCCGTTTTCTATGTCCGGAGCCCAGACTATTTCAAAATCAGTCCTCGTATATCTTCTTCCTCTGCTATTTGGTGACTCGTACAAGGAGGAAATGGAAGATTGGGACATGTAGGCCACTCGGCGGGCGTCCGGATTAGCATATAGGAATTACTTATCATGACCGCAGGAAGAAAAAGAAACATTATTTTCTTCCGCTGAGTCACCCTCGCAAGCGACAATATTGTGAAGGTCATACATATCCATGCTTTTTTTTCTCTCTCTCTCGTTTTTCACACTTTCACGACCTTAAGATTCTTGTGGCATGTGCTTCCTCTCTGTGCTTTCGTGTTTTTTTTGTACGGTTATTTATTTTCCATTCTTTAGTATCATTATTTTCGTTCTTTCTCTTGAAAGAACGAAAGCATTTCATTGTGTATTGTTGGCTCCGTCCTCGCCTTCCCTCGCTTATGGCTGGGTCCCGATCCTCTCTGGTCGTTCGTGCTTGCAGTTTCCTCACGCTTTCTCTGTCTGTTTGTCCGTCTTTCTGGCTATCTATCTGTCTACGACTCTGTCGCTGTCTCTCTCTCTCTCTCTCTCTCTCTCTCTCTCTCTCTCTCTCTCTCTCTCTCTCTCTCTCTCTCTCTCTCTCTCTCTCTCTCTCTCTCTCTCTCTCTTTCTCTCTCTCTCTCTCTCTGTATATCTATATAGATAGACACACACACACACACACACACACACACACACACACACACACACACACACACACACACACACACACACACACACACACACACACACACACACACACATATATAGACACTATATGTATATGTCTATCAATCAATCAATCAACCTACCTATCTATCTATCTATATGTATGCATATTCATATGTATATATATATATATATATATATATATATATATATATATATATATATATATATATATATATATATATATAGTGTGCGTACACACTGTATATATGTGTGCATGTACGAGTATATATACGTATCATACATATTAATTCATTTGTTTTGATATTCTTTTAACTTCCACTCTTTGTCTCCTAGAGAAATAAGTCATAAAACACAAAAAATCAAGAGAAAATGTATTAAAATCTCATGTTAAGGTTAATATTTCTGGATGAAATTTAGGTCGTTTAAATATTGAAACCGCCATTGCCCGCTTTCCCTTGTCAACGACCGTGAGGATAAAATATCTTAAATGACAGTAAATATTAATCAAATGTATCAAATAAAGTAACAGACAGAAGCATAATAAAATGAAAAACGAAATGCGATGAAAATAGTACGCAAATAAGGAAGTTCCGGAGGAGTTTAGTTATTAATTTCAGGATTAATTTGGTAACACAATTACCTCGTGTTGTCACCTGCTGAGTAAATAA